TATAACTTATAGTTAAGCCTTCGTATACATGGAGGAAATTTCCTTCATATCCTCAGTCCCACTTCCTTGGATTTAACAAACCATGGATTATGTAGTACTGTAGTGTTTACTAATAAAAACAGATCTACATATAAGTGGACCTGTGTAGTTCAAATCCGTGGTTTGAGGATCAACTCCGCACTTATGAACAAGCCCCTGTAATACTATTTTACAACACTGTCATTTATTCTACACCACCATGTGACCATTACTATTATTCTTACACACACACATACAAATTAGAAAACTGAGTTGAAATTAGAATATAGATTCTAATCTCCTTTAAGTACTGGGCCAAAATATCTGAAGTTGGTGATTAAAAAACAATAGAAATTCAAGGGTCATCTGGAAAATGAAGTCAGATACCCAAATCTTCACCTTCTCCTTACTGACGAGTAAGTAAATTCACAGATATAAAACAGGATTGGTACTGACCACAGACCTTGACCTCCCCGCCCCCAAAAAAAGAAGAAAGAATAGTTTCTCAGCAGGTACTTGCTTTTGCGTCCACATTTTTACCTAGTTAAAATGCTGTCATGCACTTTGAAAATAATTACTTGATGGTTCCTTTTTATAAGAAGACTTTTATACATCTATTTCCAAATTCCAATACAAATCCAGATATATACAGATATATAAGACCAATTTATATTATGCTTAATCTCCCTCTCTATATAACTTAGGATATTAAAGTAGGCTTTCTGTACATGCTTAATTCAATATAAAATGTATCTGAGAAATTCAGACTCAGGATTTTCCAGCAGTCTTGTCACCTAAAGAAAACAGCTTCTAGCTTGGATTTGCATACTATTTCTATAAAGATTCAGACTCACAGTTAAGGTCAACATCTGGCTGGATTTAATATTTGCATTTTAACAGTTTCACTCTCATTATTTCACTCTAAACAAAAAATGTTTAGCATTTTTTTCAAAGCAAAAACTGACTTTTATTTTAATAAAAGTTTTCATATATTTGCTTTGTTCAGTGAGAGGTGGATTTGTATGCTTGAACTACCATATGCAATTGGAATTTGAGGCTATCTCACTAGACAAATCATTATAGCAAAGTAAATGCAAATGAAAGGGGCAAAGGGCACATTAAAATGAGCAAGAGGATGTAGGGTTTTGTCTTCTATTTCCATATCTTTTGGGAGAAGGGAAAAGTGGGCAAATGAAATATAGCTCTATCTTTTTTCCCCGGTAAATCATGGTTGATAATTTAGCTATTTGAAAGCCATGGGGAATATGCCAACTAATTTCTCAAACTAATCTTGAATTTAGTAAACTTGCTTTAGTAACTTTATAGAGAACTTTAGTGCTAAGTAATAACCACATAACCAATGCATTATTTTTATTACTAAAACTGTATAACAAATGAACACATGCATATACATACATCATTGAAGAAAGAGTCAAGATGATTTCAAATGGAACATTCTGTATGTGAAATTATAATAAAATGTGTTTAAAAACAGGTACTGTTTATCAAGCATATGTTGTGCACAAACTCTGTGTTACTTAATGTGTTTGATCTTTACTACCGACAAGAATCTAAAAAGTAGATACCACTATACCACCGATGAACAGAGGTATGGAAGAGATGATTAACCTACACAAATTTACTTAACAGATTTAAACCTAGTTTGTCTTATCTACAATTCAGTGTTCTGTCTTCAGTGATACTTTAACGTATTAAACAGAGTTAGGGGAGAATTTGAAAGCATCTGGATGACTAGTCTGGAATCTTCAGTAAAGGTGGATGCAAATTATTGACTGAATATAGGACTATCCATGCCTTATGCGCACGTAAGTAGCTACTAAAGAGTCAGGCATAATTGTTTTCCTCTGTGGTCACCAATTAGAAATCTTGAAATATTAATAAAGTGGCTGATTTGTGAGAAATATCAGTATGTATTTTCTTTCTACATATTGCTTTTAAGCACCAAATATATCATGGGCACTCAATAAATATTAAATATTTAACAGCAGCTAATAAAATGAAATTATGGCAATATATTTTACAATTAACTCACCATAAGATGAAATAAAAAACAAGTTTTAGCACTAGACCTGGAAGATGAGCAGATTTAGATAGCTGGTTAGTTGATTGTTCCTTTTGGGGGGTTAAAGGCCTTTACCTTTTTGGGTTGGAAAAGTTTACCTTGGGTTTGAAAAAAAAACATTTTCCTCTGAAAAATGAAACTACTCCTAATTTTCAGATTTGTTATATTCATCTAACATCTAAATGTAAATTAAGGGGTATATTTCTAAGCTGTTGTCCTTTCTGCCCCATACTCAAACATGAAGTGAATATATTTCATTATCTATTGGTATTATCTTACTCTAAAAGAACACAAAGTATGTTACCTTATTTATTTTTTCCCCTACTTAGGCCCTCTTTTGCACACAGTCTGAGATTTGCAGAAATGCTAATTGTGATAATAATTTAAAAAGAATGTTAAAAAATGTTAAATACAGGCATACATAACTCAATGAATGATGAAATTGAGACTCAGGAGTGTATGCAGTTTCAGAGAGCACATTTGTGGAGAGTTAAATTAGAGATGCAAGCTATTGGGCAGAAATCAGGCTGGAAGCAAGCTCACTTTTTTTCTTAAGTGAGTGGAGCAAAAATGTTTCACAAAAGAAAGAGAAAACTTGTAAAATGGAGGGATCATAGGGAAACTTTAATTTAAGCCCCTATTTCTCAACTCTTGTAGGATTCATGAAAAAAGAAGCACTTAAAAGTTCTCGGAGGACTCTATCTCCTTCATTTACACTTTTGGCTTTTTACAATCCCTCTGAGGATAAGAGAGAATGAACTTCAAGTTACTATTTGGGTGACTCTTTCCTTCACTGTTTCCTTTAAGCTTCTAATAGTCTCTCCAATGCTCCAAAGAAATTAGAACACATTTAACAAGTGCTTTCATGAAGCTCAGCCACCATTTCCTCTCTCAAGTCTGTGATTAACCCATTGATGGGTCCACAAAGTCTGTGTAACGGTCCACAATACTACGCTGCCGGTCGCATGCACCAACTACTTTACCTATCCTATAGTCATTTCTGACATGTCAAAATATCAAAGCCACAGTAAGTTTCACTGAATGAATTCACACAATAATAAACTTAGACACATCAAAAGCCCTCATACAATATTTTAAAATATCTCTTCAGTTTTCATAAACTCACTGTCATTATTATGTGCTTACTTTCTGTCTTACACTCCCACCCACTCTGACACAGAACAACCCCCTACATATACGCCTTTAATTTTCAGGAACCATGCATAGAAGTCACCCCTTTCTGTTTTAATATTTCACAGTTAGATTCTAGTTTAGGATAAGGTTTTCTCTATTTTTATTAACTTAATAAATATTCAGAAGTTTGTCGGCTTTTAAAATTTTACTGTGTTAGTTTCATGTTTTCTATAAATGTATTGAGGTTTCCACTTCACAGAACAAAGTTGGATAATAAATCTTTATAGTATGTGTATTTAACTAAAATCACAAAAGAAAGAGAAAACTTGTAAAATGGAGGGATCATAGGGAAACTTTAATTTAAGCCCCTATTTCTCAACTCTTGTAGGATTCATGAAAAAAGAAGCACTTAAAAGTTCTCGGAGGACTCTATCTCCTTCATTTACACTTTTGGCTTTTTACAATCCCTCTGAGGATAAGAGAGAATGAACTTCAAGTTACTATTTGGGTGACTCTTTCCTTCACTGTTTCCTTTAAGCTTCTAATAGTCTCTCCAATGCTCCAAAGAAATTAGAACACATTTAACAAGTGCTTTCATGAAGCTCAGCCACCATTTCCTCTCTCAAGTCTGTGATTAACCCATTGATGGGTCCACAAAGTCTGTGTAACGGTCCACAATACTACGCTGCCGGTCGCATGCACCAACTACTTTACCTATCCTATAGTCATTTCTGACATGTCAAAATATCAAAGCCACAGTAAGTTTCACTGAATGAATTCACACAATAATAAACTTAGACACATCAAAAGCCCTCATACAATATTTTAAAATATCTCTTCAGTTTTCATAAACTCACTGTCATTATTATGTGCTTACTTTCTGTCTTACACTCCCACCCACTCTGACACAGAACAACCCCCTACATATACGCCTTTAATTTTCAGGAACCATGCATAGAAGTCACCCCTTTCTGTTTTAATATTTCACAGTTAGATTCTAGTTTAGGATAAGGTTTTCTCTATTTTTATTAACTTAATAAATATTCAGAAGTTTGTCGGCTTTTAAAATTTTACTGTGTTAGTTTCATGTTTTCTATAAATGTATTGAGGTTTCCACTTCACAGAACAAAGTTGGATAATAAATCTTTATAGTATGTGTATTTAACTAAAATTACAGCAATGTGTCTTAGTATGATGATTCCAAACTCAAAAATATAGAGCTGTAAGTCAACAAAGTAGACTGATATAATATTCTCAGGAATACTTCTACTAGAGTTTCTTTAAATACTCTTGCTATTCATATATTCAAATGTCAGAAGCATCAATGACATCAAAATCAACAACAGCATTTGAGACAAAGTTTTGTATTTTGGAATATATAGATAAAATATCCTGATTATGTAAAATGAATAAAACATGTATAAGGTTAAGTAAGTTTCCAAAGTCTGTATTTCCCTTTATTATATAGTGCAGCTATAAAAGAAAATCCTCAAGAGAATTCATATGAACTTATGATAATGCAGCTTGCAGCACGGTTTGGTTTTGTTTTGCCTGTTTTTGCTGATAATGCAATTCAAACTATACCGTACTAATCTTTAGTACAGGAATCAGATAATTCACCTATAAACATGCAGCCATGAAGTGTCATTCTTTAGTCAATACAGGCTAAGATCTTTCTCTTTTTCACAGGGTTGGCTCCCCAGCTCATTAGATCATTACCTGATAAACAGGAAAAGGGTAATGAATTGAGAAAATAACTACGTACCTTCAGAGAAAACCTGCCCGATAACAATAATCCATTAGAAAACTGGCAATATCCTCTGATCTATTGCCCGCAAAGCTATGACTTGATGGAGAGTTTCATTCCCTGGGCTCAGTTCTCCAGAAGAAAATCAGCACAATTTAAATATTTCTTGGAATGTGACAGCTCTCTAGATCTCCGGTTGCATTCTGTTCCCTAGGGACGACAATCTGGTGTTCCTGTGTGCATAGAGCAGTGAAGATGAATTGAATATGCTTGAGATAAATTAGGAATGGCTAAGTTAAAACTGTCTCTGCTCCAGACTCTCTCATCTGCAGTCTGTAAGCCTGTTTTTCTGTGAAAAAGCTAGATGGCAGGCTGCCTCAGTAAGTTCTTCTTAAGCGACACAGAGCATTTTCAATGAAGAAAAATTCTTCCATTATCTAAGCTAATGTGACTGCTGCTAAATCTAGTTTTTAAAGTGTCTACTGGCATGAAATTCATTTTCACTATTGCTTTCTTTCAAACTACAGTCTGGAATCCATACTATCCTCATATATACATTTTTGAGAGAAGCATGTAAAGTTTTTAGCTAACATATTAAATCATATCCCTTTTTGCAGTTTTAAGAATCATTCATGTATAGGGAAGTTCCTCTTTATGTCCTAAAATCACTGTATTGAATTTTATAATATGTAGATGGTTTGAAGTTACAGTACTGAAGATAGATAAATGTATTTTTATTAACATTTATTACTTGTTGCAATGTAGAAGTATATAATTTTTAAACATTAGTTAAAATGCAGAAGTTAGATAAAAATAAACAAAGGGAATGTAGATCCCTAATATGTGACCACAGGCATAAATATTGACTTTGAATATCCTCCTAAAGGAAATAAGATGTTCCAAATAAAACCAAGTTGCATAAATTATTCCCTTCTAAATAAAAACAAGTCATTTTTGAATTCTGTTTCAGTTGAATGATACGTTGTGATATGACAGTTCCTTGTAAATTACAAAATTATTTTAGAATTTTAATAATGTTCTGGAATTGAGAGATAGAACACTTTATTTGGAATATTAGCATCATACAAAGCATAAGAGGAAGGATCATTGGAATTTTCAGTTCCATTTCTTTATTTGGAATCTCTGTATGAAGCAATATTCATATTTTAAAAAAGCATTTAAAAAGCATCATAATCCACTGATATATGGATGTCTTTTAAAATATTGGCTAAAATATAGAACCTCATTTTTCTCTAACTTTCTACATGGCATTCTCTAATGCTCTATGTCCAATTATTTGATAGATAAGCAAGTTGTTGCTTCCACAGCAAGAATGAGGTGTACATATATACATATATATAGTAAGGAAGGCAATGACAATATAATTACCTGGGAACCAACAGAAGAAGTAAATGAACATTTTTATTTTTTCTACACCCACCCTGTAGCTACAGCTGATCATTTTCCTCAGGAAGGTGGAAAGGGGAAGAAACAGGAGGAACAACATAAAACACCACATCGAAAATGCCTCCAAGCCCTTCGCTCTCTTCAGAAGTGGAAACTCTAGATATTTCTGAGGCGAAAGCATAGGGGAGTTGGAAAGAAGCAGCCTCAGCATCCCAGTTAGGAAATATAGGTATGTAGCAGATTTTCAAAGACTGTGGGAAAAAGCAAGGGAGAGAAGGAAGAGGTGAAGGGAGAGAAGAATGGAGGGAGGAAGACTCTTTATGACTTAATTGCCATTTGTAAAATAACTAAGGTGTTTAGTGCTCAATATACATAAAGCAAATAAAAAAAGATAAAAGTTAAGATCTCCAATAACCAATGGTTGATCGAAAATCCAACTACATCGCACAAATGTGCGCTCATCCCAACTAATATAATAAGATAATTATAGTAATAAAGTAGGCACACGCTTTTAAGAAATTCAGATGTCTCTATACACTTAGAAATTGCCCATTTTACTAGCACTATACTGCAGTGATAAATTCAGGGTTATAAACAGTTAAATATGAGTGATGCCTAAACTATTCTTGGAATATTACAAATTGGCTCTTATAGGAAGTAACATTTAGAAAAGGGCAAGAGAGCCTTGGTTAAAAAGTTAAGGAATATTTCCAGGCACTGAGAACAAAGCCCAAAGGGAAATATGCATATCACATTTGGATAAGTGAAACAATTCACTTTGGCTGGAGTATAGAGTGAGGTATGAAGGACATGGCAGGAGATGAGTTCTTTATACTATATAAAGGAGTTTGGACTTCTCTTTGACAGTTCCAAAGTGGGAAGGATAAATGATCAATATATTACAAAAAGATTATTCTCATATCATACTAGTCGGGTAAAAATTATTCAGTTCAGTGCAGTTGCTCAGTCATGTCAGACTCTTTGCAACCACGTGGACTGCAGCATGTCAGGCCTCCCTGTCCATCACCAACTCCCAGAGTTTACCCAAACTCACGTTCATTGAGGTGGTGATGCCAACTCAATCCAACCATCTCATCCTTCTCCTCCCACCTTCAATCTTTCCCAGCCTCAGGGTCTTTTCAAATGAGTCAGTTCTTTGCATCAGGTGGCCAAAGTATTGGAGTTTCAGCTTCAGCATCAGTCCTTCCAATGAATATTCAGGACTGATTTCCTGTAGGATGGANAAAGCAGAAGTAGATGTTTTTCTGGAACTCTCTTGCCTTTTTGATGATCCAGCAGATATTGGCAGTTTGATCTCTGGTTCCTCTGCCTTTTCTAAATCCAGCTTGAACATCTGTAAGTTCATGGTTCACATACTGTTGAAGCTTGGCTTGGAGAATTTTGAGCATTACTTTGAGCATCTGAGATGAGTAGATTGTGTGTTAGTTTGAGCATTCTTTGGCATTGCTTTTCTGTGGGATTGGAATGAAACTACACACCTAGTTAGCCAAGCTAGACTCTTAGTGTGTGCGTGCTAAGTTGCTTCAGCTGTGTTCAACTCTTTGTGACCCGATGGACTGTAGTCTGCCAGGCTCTTCTGTCTACGGGATTCTCCAGGCAAGAATACTGGAGTGGGCTGCCATGTCCTCCTCCAGGGGATCTTACATCTTGTGCATTGCGTAGCCTGCACTCACAGGAGCTTCTTTACCAGTAGCACTACCTGGGAACACCTTTCTTAGTAGTCAAAGGGTTCATCTCCTCTTTCTTTACTTCTAATATCCAGTTTGTTATCTGGGAACTAGGGACCCAATAACAAACTGGTTCAAAATTGGGAAAGGAGTATGTTAAGGCTGTATGTTATCACTCTGCATAATTAACCTATATGCAGAGTACATCATGTGAAATACTGGGCTGGATGAAACTCAAGCTGAAATTAAGTTGCTGGGAGAAATATCCATAATCTCAGATATGCAGATGATATCACCATAATGGCAGAAAACAACGAGGAACTAAAAAGCCTCTTGATGAAGGTGAAAGAGGAGAGTGAAAAAGCTTCTTAAAGACCAACATTCAAAAAACTGAGATCATGGTATCTGGTCCTATCACTTCATGGCAAATAGATGTGGAAAAAAATGGAAGCAGTGAAACTTTATTTTCATAGGCTTCAAAATCACGGCACATAGTGACTGCAGCCATGAAATTAAAAGATGCTTGCTCCTTGGAAGAAAAGTTATGACAAATTTAGACAGCATATTAAAAAGCAGAGACATTTCTTTGCCAGCAAAAGTTGGTATAGTGAATGCTATAGTTTTTCCAATAGTCTTGTACAGATAATGAGAGTTTGACCATAAAGAATAATGAGTGCTGAAGAATTGATGCTTTTGAACTGTGGTGTTGGAAAAGACTCTTGAGAGTCCCTTGGACTGCAAGATCAAACCAGTCAATCCTAAAGAAAACCATACCTGAATATTCACTGGAAGGACTGATGCTGAGGCTCCACCTGATACAAAGAGCTGACTCAATGGAAAAGACCCTGATGCCGGAAAGATTGAAGGCAGGAGGAGGGGTGACAGAGGATGAGATGGTTGGGTGGCATCACTGACTCAATGGACTTGAATTTGGTTGACTCTGGGAGATGGTGGGAGACAGGGAGACCTGGCATGCTGCAGTCCGTGGAGTCATAGAGAGTCGGACACAATTGAGAGACTGAACAACAACAAAGGATCCCGCATGCTCTGTGGCGTGGCAAAAAAAGAAAAAAAGAAAGATGACACAAAATGTCATCACACAAAAAATGTCTGAGAATAAAAAATAATATATAAAAAATAAGCCAGTCACAAAAGGACAAATTCTGAGATTCTTCCTATATGAGGTACTTAAATTAGTCTAATTCATAGATACAAAGTAGTATGGTGGTTGTCAGAACTGGAGGAGGTAGGAATATGGACTACATTGAGTATGGAGCTTCATTGTGAAGATTAAAAAGTTCTGGAGATGAATATATTACTCTTTACCTTAAAATAATGGAATAAAAACATTAATTTTCTTGGGTTAACAATGTATATATCTAAACAAACATAAGTTGTATTGCTTCTTAGAAAAAAAATTGTAGAAAACTCTGAATACAAATGTTAAAAAGAATAAAATACATAAATTCTCCATTGTTAACATTTTAAGATTTATCTTTCCTTCCAATCTCTATTGAGAAAAACATATGTATGAAATATGCATACACATATAAAGATTTATATATACATACATTTATAAATTCCTTTGTATGGTGTCTCAGAGGTTAAAGCATTTGCCTGCAATGCGGGAGACCTGGGTTCAATCCCTGGGTCAGGAAGATCCCCTGGAAAAGGAACTGACAACTCATTCCAGTATTCTTGACTGGAGATTCCCATGGACGGAGGAGCCTGGTGGCCTACAGTCCACAGGGTCGCAAAGAGTCAAACACGACTGAGAGACTTCACTTGCTCACTTTGTATACATATATAAGTTCTTTGTATATATACAAGGAGCGTATGCACACACACAGAGAATCTCAGCTTTTCAAGATGAAATGAGTTCTAGCAATTGATCATTCAACTATCTGAATGTACTTAACACTACTGAAGTATATACTAAAAATGACTGAGGTGGTAATTTTATGTTGTTGCAATTTAAAAATAATAATAAATACATCTTAAAGAATGTTTCCTGAGGAAAAATGAACTTTAAAAATTATTACCAAAATATGTGATATTAAAAAAAATGAGTCAATTCATATTAATACTGTAAATTAAAATCCATATGAAAGAAACTTAACTCAGCTATTTACTGC